GGGTGAAACACGTCCAATTACCTGGCTCCCCAGGACCTCCTCTGGGAGAGTTAAATGCCCACGCGCAAGTCGCGGGGGTTTTGGAGAGAGAAGAACCCAGATGTGGCTTTGCGTCCGCGAGGGTGACGATGCACAGTGTACGACGTCGGTCCTGGAAGGGCCCTGTTGCTCACAGAGCAAGTCAACGATGCCCCGCGGAGCACAGCGTGGGCTTTCGGTGAACAGCCTGACCAGGGATAGCGACTAAGGAGGCCTGCCGGTGCCATGGTTACAGGCTGGGCCGCTAACGTCCAGGCTGGTGGCTCCAACTGTAGGCCAATGACCGGCGACCTGCTCCCCTAAAGATGCCAGCCCGGAAAACCCTGCCGGGCAGTTCTATTGGGAGGGCCTGTGAGCCAGCATGGACTCAATGACACCCAAGCCCAGCAGGGGGGAAGGCAAGAGAAATGGGTGAGGGGAGCTGACCTTCTCCTGGTGTCCAGGAATTCCACCACACATCAGCCCTGCCTCACGGCTCTGAGGGGACCGGGGCACACAGGACGGTGAGTGGCTCCATGCCACAGGGCAGAGTACAAGCACCCTCACTGGGTTTTGAAGACGAAATCCTTATGAGCGCAGCCAGCCTAAGAAAATACATGCCGTGCTCTCTGCCGCTGCTGGAAGTGCTTTCTGTGGGAAGGGGTTGCTGTGGCTGAGACAGGGGATGGGTGGGTTCCCTTGCTTAAAGTCCCAGAGAGCCACTGGCTGGTCTGTGGGGGAGATGGGAATGGGGGGTGGGGTGGGGGTGGGCTGCTGTGTTGCTACAGGTAGAATCTGTGCCAGCCTGTGCTGGCTGGCTACCCGATTTTATTTTGTGTCAATGTGTTTTATAACCGTTGGCCTGATTAATTTTCATGCTCAGCAACTCACCTGTAGAAGACGACAGTTTCAAAATTGTAGCATCTTTATATAAAATAACACTTTATTCTTTATTGACTTCTGAGCACAGTGATTATATGTGAACCCTGTGTCTGAGGTACACTGCACGTAGCCGAGTTTCAGTCCCTTCCAGAAATGGCTTAAGAGCAATGCTACTTGGGGTTCTGGCACGGATTTGTGTTGATGGGGAAGAGCCGGGGCCCCACAGTCTTTATTTCTGCCTGTTTCTCGGCCCAGCTTGTCCCAGTAATATAAGCACCGGCCACCTTCTTCCAGGTGGAAATCTGGGGTGTCTTGAGAAAAATCGCCTCCCATGACTTATCAATGAAGTCACCAGGCACTGTCTTCATAAGGCTCTGGCGCCTAAGCTCATCATAGGATATAATGTAAGACCATTTAAATGAGGCTATGGAATTCCAGACCCTTCTTGGGTAACATTAGCATTCAGGGGCCTGGCCACTCTGGAGGTGGCAGCTATCTGTGCGGTGATCACGTCTTTCTTCAGTACAGGGACTGGCTTTCGCCTGGGGCCCCCCAGGCCTACTTGTCCCTCTTTTCTGCTGGACTCTTATCAACGGTCTCCTTGCCCCGCGGCATCCACTTGGGTCTCTGTACTGTAGGGTGGAGGGAGGAGAGGGAAGTCAGCGAGCCAACAGCGCCCAGCTTATGAATGTGGTGTGGTCCCGTCTCTTTACAAAGTCTAAAGCCGTCTTTAAGTCAGAGCAGACTGATCTGGTGTGCAGCCCTACTTTAGCGCAACCATAGTGTGAGACGAAGCTTGCTAGGAACCGGAATCGGTGACGGCAGGGGGGTTGGTTGAGTGCATTTAAAAGTGGCACTCGCAGGAAGTGAAGGTGGCGGTGATGAAGACTTTATTGTGAGGGGGCGTGCTTCGAAGGGGTCAAGGATTCCATCTCGCTTGGACCCATGATCAATGCTCATGGAAGGAGCTTTCAGAAGATCAAAGGACACATCCTATCAGGTCACGCTGCTGCTCACGACCTCCTGACAGCATGGCAAAGGCCGGCTCCCCCTCTGAGGACTAAGGCGGGCCTGACCCAAGCCGATGCACACGGAAGTCGGACACCGAGTAAGACAGAAGAAGAATCACTGTGTTTGAATACGGTGCTGGTGGAAAAAATTGAAAGTATCAGGGACTCAAGAAACCAAGCAAATCTGACTTGGAAAGTCGTGTCAGCATGCTCCTTAGAAACGAGGGTGGCGAGACTTTGTTTCACATACTTTGGACAGGCCAGGAGACACCGAACCAAACCAGTTAACTATTCTGACTCTGAGTGATCCTGGTGCCTGGAAGAGGGCGCCATGCTTGGTAAAGTGGAGGGGCAGCAAAAAGGAGGATCCTCCAGGAGACGGCCGGATGCTGTGGCTACCACCATGGGTTCAGAATAAGGACTGTGAGGATGGTGCGGGGCTGGGGGGCTTCATTCTGATGTCCAGGGATTGCGTCGTTCAAGGAGCCCTGGTGTAGCAGGTGATGCATTGGTTGCCAGCTGCAAGGTCAGCAGTTTGAAACCACCAGCTGCTCTTTGGGAGACGGATGAGGCTTTTTGGTCTCATAACAGACTGACAACCTCAGAAAGCCACAGGGTCCGTCTGTCCTGCCACAGAACGGCTACGCCTTAGAAGGAACTCTCGGGCAGTGCGTTTGGAGGGCTGGATCCTGTTCGTTCAAAGTGAGGGCAAATTTACACAATATTAACATGCTGTGGGTTACATTTGGGGCTGCTGAACTCAAAAGTTGGCAGTTCAAATCCATCTTTCCGGAGGAGAAAGATGAGGCTCTCTGCTCCTAAATAGTAACAGTCTGGGAAACTTACAGGATTGCTACAAGTCAGAATTGACTTGATGGGAGTGGGTTGGGTTTGGAGGTACAAGGTGCCCCTAAGTTGGAGGGAATCCTGAGGTGGCGCAAATGTCTAATGGCGTGGCTGCTAAACTGAAAGGGTGCAGATTTCAAATGCCCTCAGACTTGCCTTGGACGACCCGGTGACCTGGCTTCAAGCAAACAAAGAGAGGGAGGGCACTGAAAACACAGCTGGACTCTGGTCCATATGGGGTGGGTTACAATGAGTCTATGACTCATTTCTACTCACTCTGAGGGTCACTACCACTGACCACGTTCCTCAGCCTACTGGGAGGCCCCCTCCCGGTAGGGGAAGAGGCCGGTCCCTCCTCTTCCCCTTCAGGTCCAGGTTCCTGGAGACACAGGAGCAGGGCTGCCACCAGCGCAGGGATAATGCCCTGGACTCTGGTGTCCTCACATGCTGCCTCTTGTTCTAAGGAACAGTCGGGTAGATTTGGATTTGCAGCAACCCCGTGTGACAATACCAACCCCCAACTCACTGCCCTCAACTCAGAGTGACCCTACTGGTCAGGGCGGAACTGTCCCTGCGAGTTATTGAGACTGTCATTCTTGACATGAGTAGAAAGCATGAGCCGGTGGTTTCTAACTGCTGACCTTGCAGCTGGCAGCCCAATACAGCACACGAAACCACCAGGACTCCTATGAGACAGAGTAGAACTGTCCCCAAAGGTTTCCTAGGCTGCCATCTGTAAGGGATCAGATTGCCAGGTGTTTCTAATGACGAGCCACCAAACTTCAGACTAGGGGCCAAGCAGCGTTTAACTGTTGCGTGACCAGAGCTCTTTATAACTTGTCCATACTTTTGTTTGTAACCATCATCACTGCTTCCATAACATTTTCATCTTCTGGTACAGGGTCTCGAGAGACTCCCAATTGGAGTGTGCCGTCTGCTTTGTATGGGAATGATGGATTCGAATAAGCATCAGATCCCCAGAAGGGCAAGTCTGGGGATTGACTGCTGAGCCCTTGAGCCACGATGACACAGAGGTTTCAGTGCTTGGCTACTCACCCAGAGGTCGGCGGTTGAGCGTGGGAGAAAGAACGGGCAGTTCGCTTGTCTCACAGGGGTCACTAGGAGGCGCAATCAATGTTGACCGCAGTGGGCTGGTGCCAGGTGAGATCAGAAGGCTCACCCCAACTCCGTGGAAACATACAATCTAAAATCCCTGACCGAAAAGTATGGAAAGTTCTTAGACATAACTTTACTCTTTGGAGGGAATGCATGGGGGGAGGGGGAGGCGGGAGGGCTGAGAGCTCAGGACCTTAGTCTCTGGGATGCACTAATGTCCACTGGGAGAACATGGTCCAAAAGAGCTAGGTTCTGCGTCCTACTTTGGAGCAGAGAGACGGAGGTCTCCAAAGCTCCCGAGCGGCCATCGAAGGCGTAACTATTCCCATCCAGAACACACTAAAGGCACATGGAAACAAAGGGGCCCGGGTATTGTTAGTGGCCTATATGCACTGGGCTGCTCCTGCTCTCGTTTCTCTTTTAGAAATCTCCACTTTGGCAATTCATCTTTACAACCCTTTGCCCCTGTCTAGCACCAAAGGCTAAGTACCCCATTGTTAACTGAGAGGTTGGTGACTCGAATCTAGGCTGAATGAAAGATCGCAGCCTTTAAAAACCCTCTGGGCACAGTTCTTCACCTAAGGGTGCTGTGTGTGGGAAGGGACTTGCAGGTCGGCAGCTGGTTTGGGTTTTGGTCTTTAACACCCACTTTTAAGATTTAAATAAAGACCGGGGAGTTTGGGGTGGAAATTTCAGCTTTAACAGCTCGTTTACCTCCCTCACACTAGCTGAAATTGGGGCAAGCACAAGGGTCCTCGGCAGGTTTGCCAATGCCCAAATCCTTGAATTGTAGACACTGAGAAGGTTGGGCCTGTGGACCTGGCTCCGGCCAGTAAGTGGAGAGGTGCTCACAGAACGATGCCAAGCGCCAGTGGCTGTACAACTTCTGTTTTATTGTGTGTGCTTTTTTGTTCTTAATATATAATAGGGTATAAATAATGACAAAAATTACAAAATTTATAACTGGAAGCCCAAGCATATTTACATAGATGTTTCTGTTTCAGCGAAGCTACTATTTACTTTTTGCCCTATACAGTTTCCTTTTGGTACCTTATTGTAGTGCTATTTTACTTTCTATTGACTGCATTCATATCAACAGTGAATAGGCAAAATATGTACAAGGAACTGTTCAGTTCAAGTAATTTAATATTGTATTAAAATTTTTCAACAGAACTAACTCCAAATACATTTGTCAGTTTCAAATAATGAAATTTAGTTCTCCTTCCTCAAAACTCACCAACTGATGAATATAACCAGTAAATCTGAGTTAGGGTTAAAATAATATTAGGTTAATTGAAAAAACAAAACAAAACAGGAAGACAATCCCACAATTTATCAATATCGTTTATAATGAACTTCAAAAGGCTTCACAATATGCTCGATTAGAACAATATACATTAAAATGTTAATTTCTTCTATAATGATATCGGTACTGTTTATATAATTTGATTCTACATAAATATACATTATGGTATTATACAAATACTCCACAGAGACATTTAAAAAATTAACATAGCTGCAAAGAAATGGTCAGTAAATTTTATTTAATCAAATTGTAAGCAAACATTTATTTATCTTTTTTTGTCTCAAGAAAAGTTTTATTACTTTGGAATATCTTTTTAATATATATTTAATTTTTTTTCTAGAAAAAAATTTTTGCAATAGAATTTTATTAACACCTTTCTCAAACAAGGTTTCCATGAAAGAAATCTTGATAGCAGGAGCCCTAGATTTATTTATTTATTTTTAAACATGTTTCCTTAAAACACTGTGAAGATTTAAAAAACAAAACAAAAAACCTTAGCCAGCTTGTGGCCGCATCAGCACTTTGGGTTCTACGCCAATCTGCTTGCCCGAAACTCCTGCTCTGGTTCAGCATCCTCAGTATTTTGCCCCAAACTGAGCCAGTCCTCTTGGAAGTCGTAGAGATTGAAATTATTTTGAAAAGAAAGCAAAAACATCCCTCACAACCAACCTACTATGCTCACCAATGCATGAATGAGACATTCTTTTAATAAAAATATTTAATACAAGACACATTTTTTTCTGTGCATAATAAATCCCTCCTTTTTTTGGGTCCCCCCCCCTGCCCTCTCTTTAAATCACTCTTAAATTTCGAGTCGGTGGATTGATGGAAAGGTTTTCGGACGGAGTTACATATGAAATCCACAATGATAGAAATTGGGTTCGGACGTACCTCATTAGCAATCGGGGGTGGGGGTGGTGTGGTGGGGGTGGTGATTTTGTCCTTTTGCACGACTCGATACTCAGTGATAGATGGTTTTACAGATGCTTGGTGGGGTGGGTCTATTCTGGTTTTACCGTGAAGACTGCTGACAGCGAACAAAAGGGATCTCGGATTTTTTTAGGCAGTATGAGCGATCCCATTTGATTTTTTTTTCTCTTTTTAAAAAGGTATTAACCCCCAAGAAAGCGGAGCAGGTCCAGGGTCTGAGTCATCAGAAATACCTTGGGTGACGCTAGGGGATGGGGAGTTGGCATGTCAGGCAAACACATCACAACTCCCGCCTCTGAGGGGTTGTGGCCGGAAAGTCTTGGTGGCATTTCCTGTCACTGGTGCAGAAAAGAACTCCCCCAGAAACGGCCAGAGGCCTTTAGCCCATGTCAAGGCCACACACACAGAGCGGTCTTCCTCCTCTGGGGCGGGGTGGAAACGGAGGCGAAGGAAAGCCTGCTCCGGACTGCTTGGCGTGCAAGGCACCGCAAGGACGGGAGGACGGTGGGTATCAGAAAATCGTGGTTTCATACTTGGTATTAATTCCCCTTTTGGCTTCTTGGCCCGGCTCCACAATCCACGGCAGATTGGCCAGAGTCTTTTGCTCAGATGGGTCGATCTGCTTTAAAACAGAAAGGCTGATGCCTGTTATACGGTTTCTGCACAGGTGGGCACACATGCATCTTAACCCCGCTTGGGAACCAACCCGACAGCCCAAGGGCCCGAGAGCCCAGGTCGGGCAGGAGCCCTATTTGTGTGTGAGAATCACCTGCTCATCCCTGTGACCCACACTGATTGGGCGCGAATGCAAACCAGGCACTGAGAAGGATCTGGGGGTGAATGAGACACGGCTCTGGCCTTCGAGGGCATGGAGCGCAGAGGGGGGCTGGACACAGGCACAGATCTGTCCTGACACGTGTGCTAAGCGGGGGGACAGGATTGAGTTCAATGGGCACCTGAGGAGGTCACTGACCCCCATGTGTGGGCACCAGGGAGACTTCGTGGGGGCCAGATGAACCAGGCGCTATCACTCTCGGGCTCTCAAGCTTCTACTGGGTGCTATCAGACTCCAATCTTCTGGGACTTCCGGGGGCCCCTGCTTGCCTCTCTGTGCCCTAACCACACAGCATTCTGGCTGCTCCTTGTACCCCAAGCTCATGCCCAGGGCCTCTGCTCTCACCATGTGCCCTGCCTCGAATGCTTTTGAGTTGGCATCGGCCTGATGGCTGGCATAGAGTTTGTTTTCTTGGCTTTGGGCTATTCTTCTCCAGTTAGCTGCAGGCTGTGTGCCCTCCTGTCTCTGTTTACACGCCACCTCCTCCAACAACCCCCGTTTTGTCTGTACAAAATAGCCCCTCCTGTCCAATTTCTTAGCAGCTCCTGATTCTGCTTTATTCTCCATAGTACCGATGGCCACACACCTATCATACTTTAAAAATGTGTTCCTCCTTCCCTACAACGTGTATTGCTCACGAAGGCAGGGCTGTGCCTGTTTTGTTCACTGCTGTTTCCCCAGAAGCTCCTGCAAACCCAGTAAACAGGAGGCTCACAATAAATACTTGTGAAAGAAAACAAAAACCCCAACAACAATGGATGTGGTGCAGGCTAAATCAGAGTTGGCTTAGAAAAGGTGGGAGGAGGGGCCCTCGAAGGACTAGCAGTTAGTCTGCAAGAGGGGGATGCCGGGGGTGAGAACTGACGGTGAAGAGGAGCCAGCAGACCCCGGGTTCCGGACATCTGACTCACAGAAAACGCCTACTGCTCTTTTAAAAGCCGTGCAAGTTTGCCGGCCCTTTGAAAGGGTGCAGCCATGCCTGTGGGGCTTCAGTAGCATTGAAATGGCTTGGAGCCTTTAGGACTGGATCTCCTGCAGAACCCAGGGACGGCCCCTAGGAGGGGCTAGATCAGTAGAAGCCCTCAACCAAACCTAGCGGGGATACAAAATGGCTTAGTCATTTCAGGGGTGCAGGGTGAGCCATTAGTTCTCAGGAAAGGCCCAGGAGGAACTCTTTGCCAAGTGGCTGCTCTCCTCTGGGGCAGCCGCCTCTGGCCCTGGCCTCCCGCTAGGCTCAGGAGGCTGAGGCCAAAGTGAAGTAGTGGAAGGCCTCTCCCATCTCCCTTCTTGTGTTTCCAGGGACCACGGGGTTATTTTTCAACAAGAGAGTGGAAAGCAAGGGCACACTGACATGGGTTGAGAAGGACAGCGAGGCTCTGGAGGTAGGTAGAGGCCATTATTACTCAGTGTCTGTTTCCACTTTCCCAGCGAAGGCTTCTAGATGACTATTCTATGGGGTCTTTTGTGCTCCGCTGAGGAACCTGAGAGAAGTCAGAGGGAGGCACCTCGTCCCAGTGAACGCAAACACAGTACTCGCGGTGCTAGCTCCAACAACACTGTGAGCATCCCGGGACCTGTCTACCCTAGTCCTGCACCAAGCTAGCTTCTTTTTGGTTTCTTTGGTCCACAGGTCCTCACGCTCCCATTCACAGACATTCACCGAGCACCAGCAATGGGTCTGGCCCCGGTGGGGACAACAACAAAAACAAAACAAACCACCACCAACAAAAAAAATACGACAACTCCATGAATAAAGGTGACACGGAGAATTGGAAGCGGGTGATACACGTGAGCCTGACTGGGCATCTACCTCAGATGGGATGGTCAGGAAACACCTCCTCGTGCCGCTGACACCTGAATGACAAGATGGAGCCAGTCAGGCAGAAATTAGGGGGAGAATGTTCTAGGTGGAGGAGACAGGTGGGGGTAAAGGTGGTAGCAGGTGTGAGCTTTGTACGAGGGGGCTTTGAAAAGTTCATGGGGAAAAATGGACATGAAAGAGAATGGGCTTTGTCCACGAACTTTTTGAAGCCCCCTTGTCTGTTCAAGAAATCGGCCGCTCTGAATGTCCTAGCGGAGTGTGCTGGGAAATTAAGCTTCAGGTATCTGGGGTAGGGGTGGCATGTCTGGAGAAGTCCCTGTGGTTGCAGTTTGGGAAGCAGTCCGTTAGGAGGCGCGCTGCAGTACTTGTATTGCGTGTTGATGACAGCTTGGACTAGACCAGAATCCGTGGGAATGGACGGCGGAAGGACCGGGCTGTGTTTTAGGGGCAGAGTGGTACGATGTGTTGATGGGCTAGGTAGGAATGAAGGCAAGGCAGGGATCAAAGATGGCTCCGAGGTGCCGTTGGCTGGGATGGGGCGGATTTAGAGAGAAGCAGCTGGGAAGAAAAAATCAAGCAATGTGGCACAGACACACCAAGTCTTGGAAGTCTGGTGCTTACCACAGTGGAGACGGTGAGGAGAAAACTGAACATAAACATTTGCCATTCTGCCCGGGAGCTGAGGACTGCAGATGCCGAATCGTGGGGTTGGTAGGTCCTGAAGTGGGAGGATGTGTGAAGCAGGGTTTAGAGGAGGAGAGAGTATTGTTGATGACAACATAACCCACATGGGTTTGGCGTGAACAGTGGAAATGGAGTGGAAAACCAGAGCTCCAGGAGAGAGCTGTGAGTGAAGAGGGGCTAGATGCTGCTGGGATCTTCCCATGGACACTGACAAGCCAGGAATGGAGCTGGTGTTGGGGCCAGAGAAGACTATAAACAAGGATCACAAAAGGAGGTGCCTCTCTGCCAATGTGAAAAACCTGTACTTTTCCCCCATGATGGGGATGAGGGGAGGTGGGGAGGAGGAGAGAGCTACAGATGGGAAGCTGTGTGGGCGTGAGAGCAATGCATTTTGGGTGCAGCCTGCCTGCTCTGTGCGGGTCCCTGAGTTTCTAGGATGGGAAACAGCGGCCAGAGCAGAAACCAGATGGGAGGCTAGTTGAGAACCTTTCCACTGGAGGGTCGTGCTCCCACTTTGAAGTCACGAAAGCCTGGCAGGGTAGCACAGGATGTCTGTGGAGCTGATGGGAGGGCGGGGGAAGAAATTCCCAGAGGAAGGCAGATGAGGAGGAGGAAGGGCGGCACCTTCTGAGTATCACCATTCTGCAGGGTGCCTCAGCTGCCAGGAAGCAAGCCCCCGGGGGCCAGGGGCAGGCTTCCCACAGACATAAGCCTGTGCACAGAGTGGCCGCCAGCTGGGTGCGAGGGACACCTTCCCGGTGCACCTCGGCAAAGTTCCGCAAGGCCGGGGGCTTGTGGGAGGCCAGAGGTATGGCACTAGAAGCCTCAGGGGCCTGTCCTGAACCTCGGGCACAGATCCACGGAGTAGAGCGGCAGCACCCCGGGTCCTCACGGGGCTGCTGCCAGGGAGAGGATGGGAGAGCAGACTTTCCTTTGAGGCTCCAGGTTCCGGCAGGCGCTCCCCTGAGGCTTTGCTAGAACCAGGGTGAGGCCTGGCCCGTGCATGCCAAGAGAGGGCAGGCCCTGGTTCTAAGTGGCACCCCCACCACTGAGGGCCCAGCACCCCAGCCCCTCCCTTCTGCTCGGCATCTTTTGGAATGCCGGTCTTTCTTCTACTTACCACCGACTTGCGAATGCTGACGCGGGGCTTGGGGATGGGCTTGGAGGGTTTGTTTTCAAAGCTCTCTGGAAGTGTGGAGGAGTGCCCCCCTTTTCTTGCTTGCAGGGCTAGCTGGTAAGCGACTTCAAATGCCTGCCCCAGGGTGAGGATGATTTCATAGGCTAAATTCTGCGAGGACAAGAGAAAGCCTGGGTCAGGGGCACCTTGCACGCCAGCACTGGTGGAATAGCAGAGGGACACCAGGGCAGGGGAACTGGCAAGGGCCTTGGGCCACCGCACCTGGTACAGCAATGACTGGGCGAGAGTCCGTGTGAGGGGCAGGATCCTTGGAGGCCAACTTGAGTTCTATCAAAGCCCTAGCCACTCGTGTCACGGACCACCCATGCCATGGCCAGGCCAAGGTGCGGCTCCCCATGGAGCTCTGTGAGCTCGTGCCCACGGGCCCAGGGAGGCCACTCCATTTCACAGCTCCCTGGTCTACCCCGGGGGCCTCGGAGGGAGAGGGCTCCTTCAGGGACTCAGCGGAGTTGTGGGAGCCAGGCCTGGGAGGAAGAACCCACACACGCTGCAGGGAGCGTTCCTGAGAAGTTTGGGTCTTTTTTACCTCCAACATCTGTGGTTCAGTGAACAGCTACAAAACACAACCAGAAGCTAATTTAGGCGAAGGGGCGAGGCATCAGTCATGTTGCCGTGGCGCCGCACGGCTCCAGCAGCGGGCGCGCAAACAGAGCCAATTACCCATCTCTTTCGTGAGGCGTTTGCTCTCCCTGTGGGTCCACTCTATATTTTATCACCCAATCAGCAAGACACGGGAGCTCCTGTCAGGCCGAAATGCCAGGCTGGGCTGTGCCTGGTACGAACGTTCTTTCTTCCAGTGCCAAGCTTTCTTCTCTTCTGCAGCGACCCCCCTTTGTGGTGGTGGCTTTCTCTGACAAGCACCGCTCCCCCCATCTTTCTCTCACAGAGACAGGGCACTGTCTGGCCCACAGCACGCAAGCTCTTGAACACCACACACCACCACAAGGGGTGTGTCGCAAAAGGAGATGCGCATTGGTTCTTGGAGAGGCCTCTGCATCAGGTACCACGCCTGCACGCCAACGCCCCCTGGGCCGCTCTTCCCAAGAGCGTCACGTGGGAAGTGGCCCAAATGTCCATCACCAGATGAAGGGATATGCAGCACGCAATGGCTACGGACTATGGAATGTTAAGTCCAACCTCGATAAACTCGTGACAACCCCATGTGGTACAGGGCAGAACTACTCCACAGGGTTTTCTTGGTGGCGTAGTGAGTTACAAGTTCAAACCCATCAGCTGTTTTATGGAAGAAAGATGAGGCTCCCTGCTCCTGTGAAGATTTACAGTCTCTGAAGCCCACAGGAGTCGGTTCTATGCTGTGAGTCGGCATTGACTCATGGCAGTGTTTGTTGTCTATGGAAAATCACCACGGAGCTGCCGTGTGGGCTTGAACTAACAACTCTCCAGCTGGTAGTGAAGCACAACCTCTGTGCATCACCCAGAGACCTTCACCAGGGACCATTACACAGCCATGGAGAGAAAGGAAGCTCTGATACATGCTGCCTCCTGGATGCGCACCCTACCCACATGGGGTCAATTCTGATTCATGGTGACCCTCTAGGACTGCAACTCTTCATGGGAGCAGACAGCCTGGTGGCTTCTAACTGCTCACCTCATGGTTAGCAGTCCAACTCGGAACCAGGCCACCCGGCTCCTGTAAAACATTACGTAGAATGAAATGAGACAGTTATAGAAAGGCAAATGTTGTATGATGCCACTTATAGAGACCAGTGCTTATTGGTGGGCACTAGGGATGGAGGTGAAGGGAGGAAGGTAGGAGCTATTTTTTTTTAAGGGATGCTGACTTTCTGTTAATGGTGAACAGTTGGGAAAAAGTTCATGGTGATGCCTGTACAACACGGCGCACATAATGTCAGTAAATTATATATGTAAAAACTGTTGACTTGGCAGATGTTTTGTCATATATATATATATATACATATATATATCACAAAAATCAAATCACCCTGCCAGTGGAAAACTGGCCTGTGCCAAGTTTAGATTGTGATAAATCTCTGTTAATGTTTTTTTTAAAAAAAATCACAGAAATCATAATCTTCTTATACTGCAGCCTCTCCCTCGCTTCTCTACCCACCTCAAGTCCCCTGGGGTAGCTCAAGTCCTGTGGGCCCGGGGGCCACAACGAAGAGGCCCAGGGCTTTCGGGACAGATCAGGTTTCAGGTCAAGGCCAGATCATCATGGTTTTAGAACCAAGTGGGGAAACTGCTTCTGTGCGTGAGCTGCTTTGAGGGAGGATGCGTTTGCCTTCGTCGAGGCTCTTGTTAACATGGGCCCTGCAAGATAAGATGTGTACTTGTTGGAGACGCTGTGTTTTGTGCAGCAAGCTGAGCGCTTCCCTGCAGGGACACTGAGCCTGTGTTTGCCTCCCAGGATGAGTCAGACTTATAAATTAGTAATGCACCAGCAAATGATGGTGGAGGAGGACAGGGAGACGTCTCTGACCATCACAGCATGAAGTAGGCTGAGCCCTCTCAACTGCCTACACTTGGTGCCGCGTCACTGCCAGCTCTATTTTTCAGTGCTTTGCTGGGTTCCCCTGAAAGGCAGACTGGGACTTCCGACCTTTCTCATGTCAAGACGATGCTGTTAGCTCTTGGTCTTATTCACCATGAGCATGGGATATGGTGTACAGCCATCTCTCTGAAACAGAACAAAGCAATAAAATCCATTTCAACTCATTACTGCCCTGTAGGATAAAGAAAGGAGCTCTGGTGGTAGGTGATCCATGTGGGGCTCCTGACCACAAGGTCAGCAGTTTGAATCCCCCAGCTGCTCCCTGGGAGAACAATGAGGCTTTCTGCTCCAGTAATGGTCTACAGCCTCTGAAAGCCTTAGGGGCAGTTCCTCTCTGTCCATAGGGTTGCTGTGAGTTAGAACTGGCTCAATGGCAGTACGTTTGTTTGTTTGTTAGTACAGAGTCAGAACTGCACTATGGGGTTTCCAAGGCTGTGAGCATCCTTTCAGGTTGTCACACCTTTCTTGGAACAGACGGTGGCTGCCAATGATCCACCGTTTGGTTAGCAGCTAAGCGCTTTAGCGCTCAGGCACCGGGGGTCCTTTCTCCCCAGGATGCACAGCGGATATCCATTCTCTGGGTGGGAAGTTGGACTCAGGGTCAGTGTGGGGTGTGAGACTGATGCAGTAGCAGGCTGCCGTTGGATGCTACAACAGGAGAGGCCGAAGCGTCTGGGCCTCACCTTAGCCTTCACTGGAAAAGAGTTCCTGAAAGTGCAATTGCCTTAAAATGCTGGTGTCTTCAAAAGAAAAGTCAAAGATGCTCCTGTGAACAAGCGAGCTTCTTCACACAACTGTTATGGGAGCCTGAAGGGTCTGAATGGTAATGGGCTAAAAGCTCCGTCTTTTCATTTTTAATTGGCTCCACATGTTCAAAAAACTGCTCAAAAAGACACTAAGACCAGACGGTGAGGCTAATGTGTCCTGCCAACTGGTGTCTGCGGCTTGGTTTGCGTTTTCCTCGACATTCTGCTTCTCAGGGTATTTGAGAGCGCTGCACAATGGCCTTCTTTTAGTCGGGAGGAAGGCGCCCCAATGGCACGGTGCTTTACACACGGGGTTGCTAACGGTGAGGCCAGCAGTCCGAACCCAACAGCTGCTCTGAGGGAGGAAGATGGGGCTTTCTGCTCCCGTAAAGACGTGTAGCCTTGAATGCCACCGGAATTCACTGGGCAGTTCTGCTCGGCCCTATAGGCCGCCATGCATCAGAAGGACACTTAATGGCAGCAAGTGACCATCTGGAGTTGCACACCATCCCCCTTTCTGGTATTTTGTCCAAAATGAGTGTTTGAAGTATCAGTGCTGGATGCCAGCAAGGGCCCAAGGTCATGGAGACAGCAGGGTCCTCTGCTCCAGAGGAGCCTGTGTGTGCTGCAGGCTGGGCTGACCATCCGCACACCAGGGCCCTGCAGAGGGACAGATGCTCACGCGGTGGGACCCACGGTTTACACCGGGGGAGGAAGTTCTTTTACTCAGGCTTATTTCCTCCACCTCGCCTAGTAACATCCCCAAGACGGGAGAACTGTTGCTATGTTGTTAGAGAGGATGCTTCCCTGGGAAAAGACCAAACATAATGTGGCCATTTCTGAGAAGTTCAGGGACAAGCCAGGCTTGTTTATTCCAATGATGCTGGCTGGCAGGACTGGAAAGATGGTCTTACCTCGGCCGTGTTTGCATACATGATCCTTGGAACTGCTGGGAAGCCTGGCACACACTGAGCACACACTGAGCACACAGCAGACATTTGCAGGATCCGTGAGGACACAAACACATGGACATGCAGTGGACAAGCTGGAGCAGAACCAGTGCTCCACTGTGACAGCTGGTAGACGAGGAGCCAGGTGGCACAGTAGTTGAGGGCTAGGCTGCAAACCCAAAGGCACCCACTACCAGATTTGGAGAAAAAGGCAGCGGTCGGCTTCCATGAAGAGTCAAGCCTTGACAACCCTATGGGGTGGTTCTACTCAGTCTTGCACGGTCGCTATGGATTGGGATCAACTTGACGGTGACGGACTTGGGGTTTGGGGTACTGGTAAGTGACTCAGACTCACAGCAACTCCCCGTGATCCTACAGGACAGAGGAACTGTCCCCACAAAGTTTCCTAGGTAGAAGTCTTTGGGGGAGTAGTTCACCAGGTCTTTTTTTTTTTTTCCCATGGAGAGGCTGGTGGATTCGAACCACTGACCTTTTGGTTGGCAGCTGAGCGCTTAACCATTGTGCCCCTAGGCCTCCTCTGAGTCAGAACCGACTGAACGGCACACGGTGTGTTAACTGAGAACGTACTAGGTGTCTGGCATTGTGCAAGCACTAAGCTTAGCTCATTGAAGTGCTCACCACCATCGTGTGGGCCAGTGCGTCATGATCCTCAGTTTATAAAGAAACTGAAGCTCTGAGTGCCTGAACTCACTGAGCTATGACCGCACACCTGTGACTCAAAAGAACACCAGTGTGACCCCTCCCAACATGGGGTACCCGGCACCAAGATGGCCATCCCCGTTTCTCCCCTTCCCTGTACATGCATGCTGCTCCCACTGAGCAGTAGAGTGTATTCCTCTG